ATCTTCTTTGATATTGGGTTCTCCGCCTGACTATTCCACCAAGAGAAGATCAAACCTTTTGCCTGAGCTTCAAATAGCTCTGCATCCTGGATAGCCAAGTTCATGTCTTTTATCCCTGATATATCCACCTCCAAGTTCAAATGATCAGAATGTTGAGAGGTCCTCATTATCTGATTGAAATCGCCTACTACTGCCCAAGGGTGAGTAGAGACAAGGGTCGTCGCATTCAAAGAAACAAGCTCCTCCCATAAAGCATGCCTGTCCTCCACGAGATTAAACCCATAAACAAAAGTAATAGTTAAGCTTACATTCTCCTCCGAAGCTATAAAGATGCAAAGGGGTTAAACAAAAGTAATAGTTAAACAAAAGTAATGGTTATCTAATTTGCAAAGGGGTTCTGTAAAGATATTAATGGACTATAGTTTTATTAGTTTCTTGTGACGGAAATATCCATAATAATAATGTTCATCACGCTTTTGCCTGTAACATTTTGCATGCACGAAAAATATTTCATGCAAGAAAAATTTGTTCAAGTTACCATCACATTTTTTGACGTTATCATAAATTTTCTTCTAAAATTAAACGGAAACTATCGGAATTTTAAAAAAAAAAATCCGAAATTTTTTAAGTTGTTAAAAACATTTCTCAGTTTGAGGTTTCTAGTTAATATGTTTCTGCTATTTTTTTTTTGTTTTTAAAAAAGCACGTGATGAATGTATAAAAATCCAAAAAATGATTTATTCAAGCACTATAAGAATCTAATAAAATAGGAAACAACAAGATTATCGATTATATATGAGAAGAAAAGAATCGTTTGTTGTCACCAAAAATAAACAGATTATCGATTATATATCATAAATATATGGAAAAAGAGACTCAAAACAACTCTCAAGGTTATTATATCTAATAATCACTAAACATTCCTACATATTTATGCTAATTCACTTTGTAGAGAAACCGTAAAAAAATTACCTATAACATCTTCCGTTTAGTTATTAACAGTTTTTCATAAAGTATTATGTTTTGATCAAGATAAAATTTCTCAAAATTCAAATCTTCAACCATATTTGGAGAGAACCTAAGTAACCTTCTGATCCATAAAAGTACATATGTGTGAATTGATTGTATTTTCCTCCATTAATCATGATCGCACAAAGCAAGTTTTCAAACCAAGTAAGAGCCACTTGGGACAAGTGCTTATGCTAATTAGAGAGAAAACAAAAAGTCAACTGCATTCCACTAAAACATGAGAGAATCACTCGGAAGTATTAAAGAAAAGTTTTCAAACCGAGTAACACCTACATATTTTACCTTCTCCGATAGCTAATTTTGTTTTGCTACTGGTGAGTAGTGACATTCTTGTCCAATTGAAAGTTAAATTATATTATCGGTTACGGGTGACAGCCCTGACCAAACGATAATTAATCAAACTAAATTTTCGATTACGGGTGAAACATATGCTAATCCTATTTCCCTACCATATAATTATATTAAAACATCCCATATGCTTTTTTTGTATAACTCTTTCTTTTCATTTCTCAAACATCTATTAATATAACAAAAGAAAAGTATTCGTCCTCTTTGATAATATAATGACAATACAAATTAAGAACAATAAAGCTTAAAGCAGATAGCACTTGATAAGGTGACAGTAATGCGTCAAAATGATCTTCACGGCAAAGCCAGATTGTTTGGAACTTGTCACTTTGGCATGTGACTTTGAAACTGAAACTTTAACTCTAGGGTTAGCTGAAACGATCCGGTTTGCTTTTTCTGGTCTTGTACAAACCGTTATGGAAAAAGATAAGGACATTGATAAAATTTCCGAGCAAATAACTTGGGAGGATTATACTTCTCAAAAATACCAACATTATATTATCACGATTAATTTTACATGTGAGAAAATATTATGTACATATATGAATCTCTATTATGCACATATATATGTATATATTATATATTACTGATTGTAGCTAGGTTTTTTTTTTTTTGTTGCAAAAATTGTAGCTAGGTTTTAGGACATCGTTTTCGTGAGTATCGTCTATTCTGTGTGCCTCGATGTGAGCCTTTTTTTGCTGAAGGTGAACAACTACCATGAATTCCAATCTTGATCTCTCTGACCATCTTTTGATCCCAAACCTCTTCTCCTGTTTATTTTCCCAAAAAAATGAAAACCAACAGTTATTTTGTGTGTTTTTAGTGAACAATTCTTGTTTATATATAAATCCAGTTGAACCAATCTAAATCAAACAAAACTGTATCCATGAAAACTAATACAAAAAAAATTCAAAAAAGAAGAAGAAATCAAATCATTCAGTTAGACTCTCTGATTTGAAAATCTACGTATATTTTGCTAAACATGGAATTAGAAGTCCAAAAGATTATCAAACTATAACCAAAGTGAATAATATTCAGTTACTATTCAGTTCTTCTATTTTATAAGCCAGAAGCTTTGAACTACAACCAAGCCAAAATCAGATTGGGCATTTAAAATTGCTTCGAATTTGTAAAACTTGCTTGACTTTGGAGATTCGTATTGCACTCGGGCCAATGCAGTGTTTGATAACCCAGAGAACAATAAAAAACTTAAAGTTAGTAAACACAGCAGGACGTTATACATTTTTTCGTTGATCTAGAAATATAATTTCAAAATGTAAGTTTGTACATGCATATATAGAGAGAATAAACTTGTAAATTTCAATATATATTTTTTAATTGTTCCATTTCAATATTCCTTCTATAAATAAAATCCCAGTCTTCTCTGAATTGGTCCAACTTAATTTTTAATTACTTTGGAGAACAAAGTCCACGTTTAGTTCACGTGAAATTAACTTAGACAGCAAAAGCTTTTGTCATTAAACAAAAAAAATCCAAGAATGTTGAACAAGTTCTGTTTGAAATACGAATGGATGTTCCCATATAACGTTGTCCTACTCTTCTCAATATAAAAATACATATGTGAACAAATATTAATTACTTTGTTTCTAATAAGCGTTGAGTATATATACTTGTGGACCCTATCTATCTATTCAACGCTTCAGAACCTATCCGGAACTTGTTGGAGCAGTGAATCGACCTCAAGCTTGGCCATTTTTTCGATCATAGGCAGCTGACACTATGCACATTTTGAAACCTATTCGAGGTTGGAAGATGGATAGTGGAATAACCAAGACTGACCCAAAGTGATTTGACGCCTAAAGCGTAGGATAAAAATGATGTCCTTAATCAAATTTTTTTTTTGCAGCATATTTTTGAATATTTAATTAAAATAATATAAAATATTATTGAAACATAATTTGTTATGTGTTTAAGTTTAAGATCGATTTTTTTAAAACTCAGAATCGATTTTTTGGAGTCCAGAATCGATTTTTTGAAGCCAAAATCGATTTTTTGAAGCCAAAATCAATTTTTTGAAACCCAAAATCGATTTTATAAGCAAGAATCGATTTTTTTTTTTAATATTTGATAGGGACAATGACTCTTATTTATAGGTAATTTTTTCTTCCTATTTTTGGTCTTGGTCGATGTGGGATAAATGTTTTTACACACACTTATAAAAAAATTTTGAGACTTTTTTTGTTGCCCAAAAAATTAGAGTCTTCTGAGCTGCCCTGAAGCCTTTACGGGCCTTAGCTGTGGGCCGGCCCTGGGAATAACAAACATCAAATAGAGGAACTCTTCCCATTGCAAAAAGTGGCACAAAAGATTTACCTTCATCAACCTTATGTAGCCATAAACCATTCAGCATAGCTCAATGAGATTTTTGTGAGTGAGAGAGTCATCCTTTTCTTCATGTTTTTTTTTTACTTGTTGTGTTTTTTGGTGTAACCCTAAGTTTTTGGGAAGGGTCTCTAGAAATTTATATTTTGGGTTCAAAGCTTATTTTTTTATGCTTGTTCTCATGTACCGGTAATCATATATATAAAACTTTAGATGACCAAGAAAAAGATACATAACCGAGAAATCCTAACAGACCGTACAGTAATATACAAATGCATACTTAAAATTTTTGTGTACCTTGTTGTAGTTCTTCTCATGAATGTAAGAGCATGTCCATTGGTGAACAGAGGTTCATCAAAACTGCCTATGAACTCGAGCCGAACTCTTTCTCCAACCCCCACCCAATGGACATGCTCTAATAGTCAACAGTACCTTCTAATTTATGCAACACAACACAAATTAACAAAGGTGTTTTCAAAGACGTTTTGTTTAGTCGCCTTCACAAAATAAGCTAAATCGGTCTACATGTGAAAGTTTATGTTTAGAATCAAACCATTTAAACTCAAAACATGATACGAGACAAGCATTCATCACAGTCACGTACAAATTAAATGAAAGGGAAACACCCACAAGAACACATATATCTAGAACAAAAACGATAGAACCAGAGTTCGAATCAAAAGTCTTAGACCATAAGATAACAGCGTCGTTTTTCTTTTTTCTTTTCGTTATTATTTTCTTTTTTTGGTCTTAGTCTTTTTGCACTTCCCCTTGTTCTCCACACTACGTATCATAGAGTAGAAAAATACAAAGTTGGAGTAATTCAGATTAAATAATGAATTTTAACAAATCAAATCATTATTTTTCTAACAAATTCGAAATTAACGATGCTACACAAAGTCTGGCTTGATCATATTGGCTTTGTTGTTGGAACATAAAGTCTCTGTTTCAGCTGGAGTGTTTAGTTCAATAGTATGTCATGCAGTTGAACGTTGAAACAAATCATAATTTTTCTTTAATGGAAGATTTTAATCTCTTCGATCATGATCAAATATATCTATATATATATATATATATATATTTTTATTTTTTTTTTTTTTTTTTTTTTTTGTGCGCTTGGATCAAGCTTCATTTGAAAACCAGGAGCACTCAGAGTCTCAGAGAGTAGAGAAAACAAGCAATTGTATGAGAGTAGATTAGCCGCATTTTTTAGATAAAAAAACTGTTGGCTTTGATACCGTAACTAACTTCAGCTGCCGGAGAGATTAAACACACAAAGATTGCGGCTAAGATTTCCTTCTTGGACACATATACATGTTGCACACCAAGACTGTGATTTACGCAAAATAATCTTTATATGGATTTCTCTCAAGTGTATTACTGGAAATTACACTTAGAAATGAATCAGACATTATCAAAACAGAGAAACTACCATGCGGGCAGCTTTTACAACAAAACTGCTTTCTTTTTGGGTTCAAGAACTGGAGGGTCTATGTCGATCCCCATGTTAGCTGCAGTTCCTGCAATGATTCTCATAGCGGATTCAATGGTCGTGCAATTCAAATCGGGGAGCTTCTCTGCTGCGATTGTGCGTAGTTGGTCTATTGTTATCATCCCAACTTTATCTTGCTTCGGATCTTTCGATCCCTTCTCAACACCTATTTTCGACAACTTAACAAATGTCACACACCACAAAACTCACAGGAAGAGAGACAAGGAAATAGAGTAGATGCACTCTGTGTAAGTAGAGTCATACGTCACAAAACTACAATTTACATGCTTTTCTTGCCAAATTATTCTAATCTTTGAGTAGAAGCTCAAGTAATGATCTAGCAAAACTCAAGCTATGCAGCTTTCAAGATAAGATTCAAGCAAGCCCCCAAGATCATCATTTCTACAGAGACAGCTCAACTATCAAAATCCACATTCATTGATCATGGTACTCGTCAAAAGATTACCTGCAGCCTTGAGCAACAGAACCGAAGCAGGAGGGGTCTTGAGTATAAATGTGAAGCTCTTATCCTGCAACCATACAAGAAGTAACTCTATGAAATACATCTCATAGAGCTATGTGACTCGAGACACATATAACTATTCAAATGCTTCTCTTATCACAAGTTGAAGCTTTTACAACACTTGCAAAAGTCAAACCAGAAATCAAGATCTTAACCGGTTTTATCTACGATTGTAAGAGAGTGTGAGTTAGGGTAGAAGAAGCAAACTCACATCGAAGACTGTGATTTCAACGGGAATGATATAACCGGCTTTATCTGCGGTTCTGGCATTGTAATCCTTGCAAAAAGCCATAATGTTGACTCCCTTTGAACCAAGTGCTGGACCAACAGGCGGCGCCGGAGTTGCTTTGCCGGCCTCTAGAGCCAGTTTAATAACTCCGACAACTGCGAAATTCTCCAACCCATAAGCCAATCGAGCCCGAAATCAAGAGAATTATAGTATATAAAGAGATGGGTTGTGAAAAAATTGTACCTTTTTTGGCTTTGCCTCCGGGTTTAGGCGGAGCCATGGCGATAACGGTGAGAAATCTCGGTGTTGAGGAGATAAGTTGGGGCTGTCTCTTTCCCAGAAACTGGACGGAAACATTTGCTTTAGAGGATAATTTAGCAGAAAGAGAATGTGAGAGCTTAGATTTGGGATGCAGAGAAGACGAGGTAGAGCTGCAAAGAGTTGATAGAGAAGAAGACGCCATTGATGGAGAGTGAACGAAGAAGGTAGTGAAAGCAGAACGATGAGGGAAAAATCCTATCCACTTTTGAGTTCTCACTTCATGGGCTAAACAAGTGGGCCTACAATTCCAGATCCTGTAAGCCCATCTAAGATTACAAAGATAGTGAAACTCTACCTTGAAAGAAAGCCAATTTTTCAGACTCTCGAACATCTTTGACAAGTCCTCAATGCATTATTAATCCATACAGAAACGGTCCATAATATATGTAGATTCAAAATGAACCGTTGATACTTGAAAATGAAAAGATGTGAAAGTGTAAATTCTCTTTAATGTGAAAGTATGCGACGCACAAAAACCACATTTGATTAGGAATTACCTAAAGCCTAGACTAAGTAATCCTTCAAAAAACAAGGAAAACAACAACAAAAAACTAACCATAGTCAAGTTCAGTATATTACAACAAAAAAACATCTCTAGAATAACCTTTTGTACGCTAGAAAAAAGAAAAAAAAAAACCTCTTTCCATACTTTTATTCAGTAAATACAATTTGGAAACGATTATATATATATATATATATTGTTAAGTCAAAGAAAAAGAAGTTAAATGTGTGGTATATTTTTTTTTAGTAAGATAACGTTGACCAAAAAAAGTTTCTAGTTGTTGTCTCAATGGAAGTATCACATTCATCTCAAAATTAAACAAAAAAAAAATAAAAGTATCGCATTCATGGAAACATCAGCCAGATTTGATTAGACACCGTGTTGTAACTATTTGAACGCATATACACCTTTTTTTTTTTTGGCTTGAGCCGCTTGACCAACAACAAATTATTTATCACCAGGAACAATTGCAATCCAGAATAGAACCAATCATATTCTATAAAATAAGATAAAATCAAGGGCGGCTTCGTTTCAATTGGCAGAAAGTCACAGAGATATAATGGTGAGTTCTAATTATTAAAATATTAACAAGAAACTAAAAAAAAAAAGTCAACTGAATGATTCTTGACTCTTGAGATTGGAATGGAGGGACTTTCTTATGTGGTTCCTCTCGTTTTAACTTTTAAGAAAGAAAGGGTCTACGAGGCTGCATTTTCACGTAAACTAATATTACTCTAATATATACGTTTATATAATAAACATACAAGTTGCCTCAATCAGAGCAACCAATCATGATTCAATATTTCAGAGTTCAAACAATGTGAGCCTAAAAGACTTAACTTTATGTATATAAATCTCAATCTATATAACACCCTTCATCTTCTTCCACAGTTCCACAAGAGTCTCTTCAAGTAAACTACATCACATCTCTCTAATGGAACCCAAAATGCTAAGAACACCGATTCTTGTGGCTATATGTCTAATGCTTATTCTGAACATTTCTGCAGCTGAGACTAAGGTACTTAAATCTTACGCCTAGCTTTCTTATATCTAGATCTGAATCTCTACTCAATCCCTTTCTTTTGGTTCTTATACCAGTTCCTCTATGAGTTTAGTTCTTGCAAGAAGATAAACTTGGTATGCTTTGTTTGATGATTTGAATAGGTTCACATAGTGTACCTGGGTGAGAGGCAACACGATGATCCTGCCTCAGTCACCGAGTCTCATCATCAGATGCTTTGGTCAATCCTCGGAAGGTAATAATTTAACCAACTTTGACCAAAACTCTATCGTCAAGTATCAAGAACAATGAGTAGATTGAGACATGTTTCTTGGACAGTATTTTAGGTCTCTACCGATTAACATCCAAACTTTTAACACTCATTTTTGCTTGTCACATCACAGCAAAGAGGCTGCACATGACTCAATGGTGTATAGTTATCACCATGGCTTCTCAGCTTTCGCAGCCAAGCTTACTGATTCCCAAGTGAATCAACTTTCAGGTACTTACTTATAAGAATAAATACTGTTTCTTGTTTTGGTCTTTTGCAGTGGCTAAATGCAATTCTTGTTTTGTGAAAACAGAGTTACCTGAAGTTGTTCATGTCATACGCGATAGATTCTATGAGTTGCAGACAACTAGGACTTGGGATTACTTAAAACATACCTCAAAGCATCCCAAGAATCTCCTAAACCAAACTAACATGGGAGACAAAGTCATCATCGGCGTCGTTGACTCCGGTTATTTCTCTAAACCGAATCCTTGCCTCTTAAACCATTTCTTAGAAAGTACTCAAGTTTCTTAAACCGTTTTTGTGTTTCAGGGATATGGCCAGAGTCAGAATCATTCAGTGACAATGGTCTTGGACCAATACCAAAACGTTGGAAAGGAAGTTGCGAGTCAAAACAGAGTTTCAACGGCTCAACTGTTTGTAACAGAAAACTGATTGGCGCCAAATACTTCGTGAGTGGCTTACTCGGCGGCGCCGACGAAAGCAACTGGAACACAACGGAGAATCCAGAATACGTCTCTCCTAGAGACTTCAACGGTCATGGAACCCATGTGGCTGCAACCGCTGCTGGCTCATTTGTCCCGGACGCGAGCTACTTAGCTCTCGGGAGAGGAATCGCTAGAGGCGGTGCGCCTCGAGCCCGGGTAGCTATGTACAAGGCTTGTTGGCACTTAACCTCTCTAGGGACAGCGACTTGTTCAGCTGCAGATATGTTGAAAGCAATAGACGAAGCGATACACGATGGTGTAGATGTTTTGTCGATCTCGACATCTTTCTCGATTCCTCTGTTTCCGGAAGTTGACGCTCGAGATGCTATGGCGGTTGGAGCGTTTCACGCGGTCGCGAAGGGGATTCCGGTCGTGTGTTCCGGTGGTAACGCTGGTCCTGCTTCTCAAACCGTTACCAACACGGCTCCTTGGATTATTACCGTTGCTGCGACCACTCAAGATCGGTCTTTTCCCACACTTATTACACTTGGGAACAATGTTACAATTGTGGTAATTAAGCTTTACGATAGTTTTAAAAACAGAGCAAAGATTACTTCTTTCACAAGTTTTACTTAAAAACATTTAATCTTCTTTAAATTTTAGGGTCAAGCATTGTATCAAGGTCCAGATATGGATTTCACCGGTCTGGTTTACCCTGAAGGTCCTGAAGCAAGCAACGAGACATTTTCCGGGTAATTTTTAAGTCTCTAATCTTCTGTATGGTCTCCCGTTTCCATCAAAGCAAGTGCCTTTGTACCTAATGAGACCAAGTCTATTTTTACTTGCAGAGTCTGCGAAGATCTGTCCAAAAACCCAGCTCGTATTATTAAAGAAAAGATTGTCTTGTGTTTCACAAAATCAACGGATTATGGGACCGTGATCCAGGCTGCATCAGATGTATTTAACCTTGATGGCTACGGTGTGATCGTTGCAAGAAATCCAGGATACCAGCTTAATCCATGCGACGGTTTCCCTTGTCTCGCTGTAGATTACGAACTTGGAACTGATATACTCTTCTACATACGTTCCACTAGGTATATTATACATCTGCATTATACATATTTTCATCAACGTTTAACCATTAACCTTAGTATTGATAATGTATATTAAACGGTTGGTTTTGTAGATCACCTGTCGCTAAGATACAACCTACAAGAACATTGGTTGGACTCCCTGTGGCTACAAAGGTCGCGACTTTCTCATCTAGAGGACCTAGTTCGATTTCTCCTGCAATTCTCAAGGTATATTCAGACCTAGCCACATGATTCTCTGTTTCTTAATTCTGATAAATCTATAATTGTAGCATTCTCTGTTTTTGATAAATCCTAAACTCTACTAGATTCTTTGAACATATTATCATTTAGATTTAAGGTATTGTATGTTCTAAATATAAGTGTATACAAGAACTAGGTTCAAGAAAAGCATCAATAAGATTATAGTTTCATATAGTTTACTTGTGACTGAAGTTTCTTATAGTTTCTTTTTGACTAAAACTGAGAACTGATTGTTTTCTCTGATACAGCCTGATATTGCAGCACCTGGAGTGAACATACTCGCGGCTACATCTCCAAACGATACATTCAACGACAGAGGATTCTCTATGAAGTCAGGAACATCGATGTCTACTCCTGTTGTGGCAGGAATCGTAGCACTCCTTAAGTCTTTGCACCCTCATTGGTCTCCTGCCGCTATTAGATCCGCCATTGTCACTACAGCTTGGAGAACCGATCCATCCGGTGAACCTATTTTCGCAGACGGATCAAACCGCAAACTAGCTGATCCATTTGACTACGGAGGAGGCGTTGTGAACTCAGAAAAAGCCGCCAAACCCGGCCTTGTTTACGATATGGGAGTTAAAGATTACGTTCTCTACTTGTGCTCTGTTGGCTACACGGATTCATCTATTAGTAGACTCGTTCGCAAGAAGACAGTTTGTGCAAACCCTAAACCTTCTGTTCTTGATCTTAACTTGCCTTCAATCACAATCCCAAACCTTGGAAAAGAAGTTACTGTCACTAGAACAGTTACCAACGTTGGACCAGTAGGGTCGGTTTATAAGGCTGTGATCGAGGCTCCAATGGGTGTCAACGTGACCGTGACACCGAGGACACTAGTGTTCAATGCTAAGACCAAGAAGCTCTCGTTCAAGGTTCGAGTGTTGACGAACCATAGAGTAAACACTGGCTACTACTTTGGAAGCTTGACATGGACTGACTCTCTTCATAATGTGGTCATCCCTTTGTCTGTTAGAACTCAGATTCTGCAGCGTTATTACGACGAGAACTGATTTCTTTGTTTATTCCTTCTTATTCTGCATTTATTTATTTATTTATGATATTTTTTTTGTTTATTGTGTTGGTTATTGATTTAATTATACGGTTAATGTTGCTATTGAATATTCATCCCATAAAAAAAAAAAGTTTATTATTTCTCAAAAAAAAGTAGCTTATTGCTAAGTTTCTTGGGGAACAAGAAATCAAATTATAGGGGGAATGAATAGAGAACAAAGTAATATCCTCTGCTTCTTCTTCTTCTCTTTTTTTTTGTCTCAAGTAATATCCTCAAAGAAATTATTAATGCTTTATTCGCACAAACACATAAAGATCCTTCATTCATCAGTTCTCATCATAGTAGTTTTGCAGAATCTGTGTTCGCACAGACACAGGAATAGTCACGTTATGCAAAGAGTCTGTCCAAATCAAGCTTCCAAAGAAGAATCCAGTGTTGATTTTGTGTGTGGTCGAGACTCGAACCTTGAAGGACACACTTTTGGTTTTAGAGTTAAACCTTAGCGTCTCCGGAGTCACAACCACTCGAACCCCAAACGGAGGCTCGACAACGACTTTGTAGACCGAATCAACTGGTCCAACGTTAGTGACGGTTCTGGTGAGAGTAACTTCGTCTTTGAGGTTTGGAATCGTGATTGAAGGCAAATTGACATCAAAAACAGAAGGTTTAGGGTTTGAACAGACTGTTACTTTACCAACAAGCTGAGAGATAGATGAGTCGTTGTAACCAGCCGAGCACAAGTAGAGAATATAGTCTTTTGTGCCCATGTCGTATATAAAACCTGGATCTGCAGCTTTCTCTGCATTCACTAGGCCTCCACCGTAATCAAACGGATCAGCTACTTTGCGAGATGACCCTTCTGCAAATATCTGCTCTCCAAATGGATCTGTTCTCCAAGCTACAAAGTAAAGAACTCTTATTCAGATCAGTGTGTTCTTGCTTAAATACCTATGAGACTTCCAGGTTTGTCTTTTGATTGGTTTGTTTCTATATATAGTTGGATGAAAATAAGAACCTGTAGTGACAATAGCTGATCTAAAGGCAGCAGGAGACCAATTAGGATGCAAAGCTTTAAGAAGTGCAACAACTCCTGAAATAACCGGAGCCGCCATTGATGTTCCCGCAAGAATATCAAATCCTTTGGAACTGGATTTCGAATCTGGAGATGTAGAACCTAATATGCTCACCCCTGGTGCCCCTATGTCAGGCTGCATTGCGAGAAAAGAAGAAGTGAAATTTCTTGTGATTCAAAACATCTCATGGGGTAAATAAACAAGCATACCTTTAAAATTGCTGGAGAATTCGAGTTAGGTCCTCTTGATGAGAAAGTTGCCACTTTTGTCCCCACAGGTTGTCCTACGAGTGTTCTTGAAGGTTGTATGTTCACAACAGGTGATCTGCAAACCACAATTCAAGCCAATAAATATTGAAACAGAATCAGTAAGTTGAGTACTTTTATTCGATGTTTCTACTAGGGGAGTGCTACTTATTCATAGTTCTCATACCTAGTGGAGCGTATGTAGAGAAGTATATCGGTTCCGAGCTCGTAATCAATGGCTACACAGGGAAAATCATCTCTACATGGAGTGAGATTGTAACCTGGGTTTCTTGCTATGATCAAGCCAAGACCACCGTCTGCCTTCACATAAGAGGCAGCTCTCGACACAGCAGTGAAAAGTGTTGTTGTTGTGAAACATAACACAACTTTCCCTGCCATTGTACCGTTTGGGTTGAGGTTAAGGCGCTCACAGACACTGAAAAATGTTACATACATAAAGATGTTAGATAATTGACATAAACTGAATTATATATCTTAACAGGAAGTTAGAAATTTTTGATTTTACCCTGTAAAGGTTTCATTGCTGCTCACTGGATTCTCTGGGTAAACCAAACTAGTGAAGCCAAGTTGTGGACCTGTGAATAGTGCTTGACCCTACATTAACAGTTGAAAATTTTCATAATCAGACAATTACAAGATTCGGATTTTGTTTTGCTGATTAAAAAAAAAATCATCTACTCTGCTTCACCAGTATCATGTTGTTGTTCCCAAGTGTAATAGGTGTTGGAAAAGACCGGTCCAGAGTGGTTGCAGCAACTGTTATGACCCAAGGAGCCGTGTTTAAAACAGTCTGAGCCGCTGGTCCAGAGTTCCCACCTGCACAAACAACTATGATGCCCTTTGCCACTGCATGGAACGCTCCAGTAGCAATCCTATCACGCAGATCAGTTTTAGGAAACAGAGGAACTTGAGCGCCAAGAGAGAGTGACAAAACATCAACACCATCATGGATAGCTTCATCCATTGCTTTCAAGATGTCAGAAGATGAACAAGCCACTGTACCTAGCCGTTCCAGATACCAACAAGCCTTGTATATTGCTATGCGTGCTCGCGGTGCACCACCCCTTAAGTTTCCACTAGCGAGTCCCTTGTAGCTTACGTTAGGAACAAATAAACCACCTGCGATAGAGGCAACGTGCGTCCCATGGCCAAGAAAGTCTCTAGCAGATATGTAGTCAGGTGATTCTGTGGAGTTGAATCCTTCGTTTTCAGCAAGAAACCCGTTGATGAAGTACTTAGCTCCTATTAGCTTTCTATTGCAGTTTGTTGCTATGAATTTTTCTCCAAGTACACACTTTCCTTTCCAATGGCTAGGTATTGGTCCAACCCCATTGTCGTTAAATGATTCAGACTCTGGCCACACTCCTATAACCACTCAAAACGGCAAGTCATTGGGGAGCTACAATAAAGGAATCAAAAGAACCTACGATATAATGGAATGGAAAGTACTTAAAACCTGAGTCAATAAAGCCAATGATAACTTGGCCACCCATGTTTGTATCATTTAGGAGATTCTTTGGATTGGCGACAGATAGACCTAAGTAGTCCCAAGTCCGAGTTGTCGCAAGTTCGTAGAAACTATCCGGTATGACATGAACAACTTCACGTGAATCTGTTTCCAAAAGTTGCATCCGAAATGAAGATATTCAGCTGATCTTGCTCAGACAGTCAAAAATAGAAGCGAGAATGTGTGTACCAGCGAGTATCTTGGCTTGTGACTCGGTAAGCTTGGCAGCGAAGCCTGAAAAGCCATGCCGGTAACTATGAACCATTGAATCATGTGCATCCTCTTTACTGTGACACAAGAACAAAACCTTTGGTAAAGCTCATAATGGAGGTTGAATAATAATCAAGTAAAGCTGTGTACCTGCCAAGAACTGACGACAAAATTTGGTGATGAGATTCTGTGACAAAGTCTGGATCATCATGTTGCTTTTCACCAAGATAAACTATATGAACCTATTCACAACACAACCCAAATTTAAGTAATAAACTATTATTGGTTTCTCCATTTTTGCTGTCTTATAAAAAAAAGATCAGTCTTACCTTGCTCTTAGCATCAGCTCGTGAGACATTCAAAACTATAATCAGACTTATCACCAAGAGAAGTGAAGCTCTGTAATTCCTCATCCCAAGCAAAGAAGAGTGTTTCATTAATTTTCAATCTACTTGAAATAAGTTGAGGAAGCAACAGCATTTTTATAGAATAGATGTCTTCTCTTCCAAGAATGTTTTACATAAGTCACACAGAAAATAGTGTTTCATTTTTTTTTTCAATCACCTTGGAAACGACTTTTGAGGATGTAAACGCAGCTTCAATAAAGAAACGTGTCTAAGTTTTCATGGGACTAAATAACAACTTGTGGAGATTGAGACGAAAATACAAGAAGCTGAAACGTCTTGGTCAATCTCAATTATTCTTTGTGTGGCTAAGGCCAATAATGTTTCGTTTTAATGGAATTTTCAACAAATGTGAAGAAGATAGTAATGTTTGGATTGGAAGAAACGTGATTGATCAACAAAGGAAAATTAATAAGTTTAAGATAGTGACCGAACCTCAAAACTGATTCGAAAATATCTCTTTAGTACCAGGAGAGAATTCGCCGTAACGACAATGTCTAGGCAGCGAGTAGGTTTTATAACTTTTGAGAGATTAGTGTCATCTATTAATTGCAGAGATTTATTTAGCTTCTGTGAAAACATTTTCGCAAAACGAAAATGATCAATGGATTTTCTGATAAAGAGTATCAGAGCATCTGAAAATTTGCCAATGAAAGGCAAAAACTAAAAGTAGAAGGATGTGAGTAGGGTGTCAAACGGCTAACTGAACAAAACTAAAATAGTTCAAGAAAATAAAAAACTACTATTTCGTATATCTTATTTTATGAGAATTTGGGAGTATGAAAGACGTTGGCCTGCAAGCTGGCCCGCTAAAACCACTGGTCTGCGTCCATCTAGGAACATGTACTACTATAGTTTACGTATTTCATTTTGATGTTCTCAAATTCAAATGTAATAGGTACGGCAAAAGAGCCGATTTAGAATAGTTATAGCCACTATAATGATTAAGAGTTAAATGGAGTGGATTAGCCTGTTTTAGCTCTGATTGGAATTCTTTTATGTTCATAGAGGATTTTTATTAACCTATTCATGGTGAAGAAGTGTTTGATTATTCACTATGTTAGTTGCGGATTAGGGGGGTTCAAGTATTTCCATTATGTTTTAAATCATGGTTCACCATATGTGGATGCCGTGAGTGACAAAAAAAAAATTCTGAACTTTCATAAATCCAAAATTTGAACTTGCTATATAATAAAAGAAAAATTGAAATTTTATAACCCCATTAAAAGGACTCTTGCAAAATTATAATGAGTCATCTTTGCTCATTATTAAATTGTTCTTTCGGTTACCAATTAGTCCAAATTTGTCATCACTCGACCGTCGCCGGTTCACGAACATGCAATCCACTTTTTTGGATTTCGAATTGTGACCTGCATGATTGCCCACTCTTTCGTGTATTTAGTCAATTGACTATAATACCCTTCTCTCCCAGTACTAGAACCATTATTTTACCAAAATCTCATGATGAAATTATCCAACGCGATTCTCATCTTATTTCGTATCGATTTGACATCCTTCGTGATTCTATGTTCCCTCTTTCATATGGCAGACGAATTATTCAAATGTCACTGTTTGTTTGTTTTTATTAATTTTTTAGAGTTTCTTCATATTGTAACATTAGAAAATACTAATTAAATTGATTGAATATGTGTTTTGTTGCAGTTATATATTCGAAGATATATAGTATATTATTGGTGGTAAAAAATATCAAAACTGAAACCAAACAAAAATGCTGGTGGGTGTATAAGTCTCATGTGGGTTCCATGAACTATCGTCACTAATATTGGTTTCTTTACTTATGATCATATTACGTTAACGAATGATAAAAATCTGAAAAGAAAAAAATAAATGGAAATAAGATCTATAAAAAAATGGACATAAGATCGGCGAAATAAAAGTTTATTTTCTTTCAATTCGGAAAAAAAGAAATCACTTGTTTGTCAACAAGCTTAATCTTTTGTTGTAATATTATTATTTTTTAAAGAAGATATGGCTTGATAAAATTGGGCAAAAAACTCCTTGTCCCTTGATGATAAGATTCATTAATCAATGTTGATGATAGTATTCATTAATCAATGTTGAAGACAATGCCCATGTCCATTGAATAATATATCTAACTAACATAATATGTTAAATACAATTTGCAATCAACCGTCTTTCTTACATGTTCCTTTGGTTCAAAGTTATGTACCTTAGCCGAAATGAGTATGAAACTTTGTAATATAGTATTAATGTGCTTCTCTGTAGATTCAACCCATACTCCCGTTATATCGATGGGTAATGGTACTAATCATTGTAATTTATTAATTTAATGAAGTTTGGTCTAAAGTTAAAGATTTAAAAAAGTTGAGAAACATACAATTATTATACATATTAGTCTTTGCATCAAAACCTTGATCTATTATCTGAAGACTAATAACGTCGAGCCCCTCAAACTAATCTCACGCTCAGATTTTGTCTCCTAGTACAACTTATTTTAGCTAAGAAAAAAAGTGGTTTAAGAATTAAGATCCACAACACTAAGCAACGTTATGGACAATTTATTTATTTGTGTATATATATACGCAAACATAAAGTGTATAGTATGGTAAGATTTTATACGAATATAAGAGGAAAAAATGAAATTTAGATCACATAGATGAGAAAAAAAGACAATTGTCACCTCACTAGAGATCCGAAAGGACCCATTAAATCTGGGGCTAAGTTTGATTTTGTACCTATATTTTATTTGTCCCGTGAATCAATAGAAATTTCGATATATTTTCTGACAATTAATCAGAATTTCAACATTGGGAGCGAGAAGTTTAGTTTAGGTAAACTCGTAATCGTACCATTGAGGAAGGATGATCATAAATTAGAAGAATTTTATACTCCTCTGTTTTATAATAAGTGTTGTTTTAGATTTCATTTTTTGTTTAAAAAAAGTGTCATGCATTTTTAACGTAACTTTCTACTTTTATTTCCTGTTTATAAAAGTATATTAATTAGGAATATATTTATATATTTTATTAATTTCTTAATCTGTGTGAAATGTGTCAGAATGACCGGAAAGAATATATAAAAGTTGCTCAACTCTCTCCATATGAATGTCATATCAGTATTTAAGAGTTGATATGAGAATGACATATGTCATATTTTTTAATTTAAAATTACAGTTTTTAAATAAAATTAATTAAAAAATTTTAATATTAAGCACTACAAAATGAAAGGTTTTTTCTATTAGTTGATTCTTAAATAATATTTATATAAATATTAAATGAGAATTTATGTTATAATTAATTAAAATTGTTGTTTTTTTAATAAACTCTTCATTTCTAATGATATTATATTTTAAATTAATTGATTTATAATAATATATTAACACATAACAAATGATGATCATATTTTTTTTAGGAAAATAAAAATATATAAATTTGAAATAGTTTAAAAAAAATCGCATTTAAAATTATATTTAAAAAACAAAATAATTAATAAATTTTAATATTAAATTTTAAACCACTTCAAAAAATGTATTAATTTCTTATTAAATAACATTTATGTAGATATTAACAAGAATTTATGTTATAATTACTTAAAATATTGATAGTTTTTTGTATAAACTCTAGATTTTTTTAATGAGATTTTATTTTAAGTTGTTTGATTTATATTAATATACTAACACATAACAAATAATGATTTTTATTTTTATAGGAAAATACAAAAATATATAAATTTGAAATAGTTGAAGAAAAAACCCGCATATTACGTACAGGTATTCATCTGGTTTGTTTTTTAATAGTTCTTATTAAATTTGTATTATATAGTTGTTTTTATTTTTGTAGGTTCAATCCTTGGCTCTCCTACGTCTATGGTTATTGGTTATCTCGGCAGCACATTTTTCAATTTACTTTGTGTTTTCGAGAGCTTCATTCTCAAGTTTTTGTATCCATCATTTATTTTCTGCATTTCTGTACTTTATTCGAACAATAGTTTCTTGTTTCTTGATTTTTTGGTTCTAGAAATATATTCGTTATTAGCTTGTTTTTAACTTCAGAGATATATTTTATTTTCTCTGGCTATTGTATTTTTTTCTGTTGTTGATTCAATAAATTTTAATCAGTATATTAAAAAATATATAATTATAGTTTTAGAATCTCTCAATATAACTTTTGATAGAAACAACTGTTAAATCTCTTGGTAGTCAAAGTTGCTTAAAATATAAAATAGACAGAATTTAAAATTGATTTTTTTTGTTAGAAATTACCAAACATGATTATTTTTTTTTCTTTTGTGAAAATTGTCAGAGATATATTTACGTGGTAAGAAGAAAAAGGTATAAGATATGCAAAATAATATAAACACATTATAATACACATTAAATTTATCATTTATGTAAAGTAATTGAGTAATTGCAATAAAGGGTAATAGATGTTAGCAAAATTAAGAGACACCTTTTGAGTGTAGGTCCCATAGAACTATTCACCATAAAAAGACTATATCACCCTTATTCTCCAAAGTTTTGCTATCACAGTTATCACGATAATTTTTTAATTATTATCAATGAATATTCTAAATAAATTACTGTTAATATACATATTATGTTGATATTATTGTTAATATTTTATATAAATTATGTATTAATATAAATATTGTCGTTATATTATTGTTAACGTGCTATATTTCTCGATTATTAGTGTTAATATTTTATATTTAACAAATATTATTGTTAATATGTTAATATTTTATTACAAAATTTTGAAATTATCACGTTATAATTATCTGATAGATTTGTTACCATTTATAATTATCATATATATTTGTTAACATGTTAATATATTATATGATAACAAAGTTAACACAAATTTATAGCGATAACTTTTATATTTAACACAAACTTTCATATTTATAGCGATACATGTTAATATTTTACTACAAAATTTTGAAATTATCACGTTATAATTATCTGATATATTTGTTACTACTTATAATTATCATATATATTTGTTAACATGTTAGTATATTATATGATAACAAAGTTAACACAAATTTATAGCGATAACTTTCATATATTTTATGTTAATTAAATAGTTATCCAATAATAAAAAATATCTTCTCTTAGATGAATAGTATCAGCGATGATGAACAGTATCTACAGTAATGTCATGTGCAAAAGAAAAGACTAATGACAATTTATTTAAATAAGTAAAGTTAAAAGGATAGTAATGGATAAAACAAAAAAATTTCTTTCTTATTTACCTAATTATTAATTTATGAATACTATATATATAATTTTTTAATTAACCATTGATATAGAATAAATTCACTCAAAGTAATTTCGTGAAGATAAGTTACAAGTTGCAACATAACCGTTGAAGAGAATCTAGAAATCACAAATAAAACAATTGGTGTTGGAGAATTAAGGGGCAAATTTGGAAGTTAGCATTCTGTCTTGTGACAGAACAGTGAATCTGAGACGCACGCGACTCATTTCGCCACCAAATAATGAGTTTTGATTCAAAAGCACAGATTTGAAAAAAAAGGATACTAAATTTTAGTGAAAAAGATATAACGGAAAAGAAAGATTTTCCTTTTCTTGTTTCTGTAAAATGAAATTTAGTCTACTGCAAAATAGGGAGTGGTGAAAATGATAAAAAAGGAAAAGAAAAGTAGGAATCAATTACAGACATTATTGGGTTTTCTTTTCTTTTCCTTTTTCCTCTTCCGAGAGAAGACGATGATGTCGTTGAGTTAAGCTGTTGTTTTCTCTCGACAACCTTAAAAAGAAAGGAAGAAGCTTTCTCTCTTCTCTTGAGAGTTTTTGAAAGAAACGTTTTTTTTTTGTATAAAATAAAATAAAAATGGGAGTGGGAAGACATCAGAAATCTGCAACTTCTGGTGTTTCAGCGAGATGGGTTTTTCTTCTCTGCATTTCTAGCTTCGTTCTTGGTGTTCTTGTCGTTAACAGGTTCTTTGATTCTCTCTCTCTTTCTCTCTCTCCATCTTTTCGATTCATCAATGCTAAATAATGCTCGGAATCTTGTCTTGTTTCCATGAGAACCAGAATCTTTTTTAGTTCATCTGTTCCTGTTGATAAAATTTAGGAGATTTCGTTTAGATGTAGCAACAAATTTCAAAATTTTCTCTTTTATTGTATGTCCGGTCTCCACATTGGTGAATCTGGAACATTCTGATGCAGAATTTTGAATAAAGTTGGTTACTCTATGTTTTTCTGGTTTGGGTTCTGCTTTTGACTAGCTTTGGTTCTCAAAGTGACCTTTAAATGTTTCTGTGCCTAGAAGCTTGATCCTTTGTCAGAATTAGGCAATCTCAGAAGATAAATCAAGCTCAAATGTTAATTAGCTTTAGCGATCGAATTAGTGATGGTTACAGTTGCTGTGTTAGCTTATAATCTTACACCTTTTCTTTCTTTAGGATATTAGCAACTTCTGAGACCATAGATGGCAATGAGAGAGCTTCATTTGAGCAGAATGATCAAGCTAGTTCACTTCATCCTCTTGTTGATTGCGAGAGCAAGGCAAGTAACAAATGAGACAACCTTTTGTACCAAAATTTCTCCACTTAATCTATTCTTGACATGAATGAATCTTCTGTCCAGGAAGGAGACATTCTATCTCGAGTTTCGCATACTCATGATGTTATCAAGTAAAGTGCCTTTTTTGTTCTTACTGAAACATGTTATAATCTTAGAGATGGCTTTATGCAGTAACATTAATTGATTATCCATTCGTTTACAGGACATTAGACAAGACAATTTCATCGCTTGAAGTAGAACTAGCCACAGCTCGAGCAGCAAGATCTGACGGTAGAGATGGATCTCCAGCTGTTTCAAAATCCATAGACGCAGACCAATCGAATCAACGGCCTCGGATGTTCTTTGTGATGGGAATCATGACTGCTTTCAGTAGCAGAAAACGAAGAGACTCGATAAGAGGAACCTGGCTTCCTAAAGGTTCCTCAAGAACAAACCTAGCTCTTCTTTCACCATAGCCAGATGTAACAAAAGTGTTTAAAGATTGTTGCTTTGTTCATTCTTTTGCAGGGGATGAGTTGAAAAGGCTAGAGACAGAGAAAGGAATCATAATGCGATTTGTCATTGGTCACAGGTAGAGAACTTGAACCTGTCTTTAGTTTCAAACATTGAGTTAAATTGACTGTTATTTGATTTATCAAATCCTTTCTAGTAGTTCTCTTTCTGGAGGAGTCTTGGATCACACCATTGAAGCTGAAGAAGAACAACACAAGGACTTTTTTCGCCTGGTAAAATTCGCTCTCCCTAATGTGCTTATATTCCTATATTTTCTTCTCTGTTTGATGATCCAAAGTTAAATGTTGCAGAATCACATAGAAGGCTATCATGAATTGTCATCTAAAACCCAAATATACTTCTCATCTGCTGTTGCAAAATGGGATGCAGACTTCTACATTAAAGTGGATGATGATGTTCACGTAAATCTCGGTCAGTTTACATGAAGCATTCATGTCTTTCAAAAGCATCTCTATCCAAGAAAAGTTTAATCAAACTTTAGTTATAATCCAGGAATGCTTGGTTCTACATTGGCTCGCCACAGATCAAAACCGCGGGTGTACATTGGTTGCATGAAGTCTGGACCTGTCCTTGCTCAAAAGTAAGCAACAAAGTCTTGTCACAAGCTCATGTTCTTTTACACAGATCTTTGACGTGTTTTGTGTTGCAGAGGAGTCAAATACCATGAGCCAGAATATTGGAAGTTTGGTGAAGACGGAAACAAGTACTTCAGACACGCTACTGGACAAATCTATGCCATCTCCAAAGATTTAGCAACTTATATCTCAGTAAACCGGTGAGTTCTCTCGCCTCTGGTTTCTTTACAATACATCCATCATCTCCTATTCTCAAATCCCAACTCACACAATCTCACTTATCTTTTCAGGCAACTACTTCACAAATATGCCAATGAAGATGTCTCGTTAGGATCTTGGTTTATTGGTCTCGATGTTGAACATATCGATGATAGAAGCCTCTGCTGTGGAACACCCTTGGGTAAGAACATAAAACCTGGCTATTTCCCCATTGCACACAACACATCAAATAACCAATTCAGATTCAAGAATTGAAACGACAACTTCTGTGTGTGTGTGTGTGTGAGAGAGCAGATTGTGAGTGGAAGGGTCAAGCAGGGAACCCTTGCGCAGCATCTTTCGACTGGAGCTGCAGCGGACTCTGCAAATCTGTGGAAAGAATGCTTGAAATACATCAACGATGCGGAGAAGACGAAGGAGCAATCTGGCACACCAGTTTCTAAAGCTATAAAAAGCTCTTTGACCAAGTAATGTATAGTTTCAGGTTCCTTCTTGATGGATGATTAGTATAAGTTATGGTTATGATTATGATGTGACGTTCATGTATACCATTAGAGGGATCGTCTAAAGCCCCAATTTTTGCCTCCTAAATCATAAACTGTTAATGAAAGATTCTTTCAAAGTTTGGTTCTTTCGTTTTTTAGATGATACGAGGAATCGATATTTGCTTATAGAGAATCAGAAAAGAAGCAAAAAACTCTTTTTTAATATTTACATATTTAAGAATTAGAAAAGAAAACACGAGCAATTAGCCATAAACCGCAACACAGATGAACCAGTCACCAAGAACTGAATTTTCCCAAAATTTGTATTCACATTAAAGGAATCGAACAAAAAAAAAGGAAAAAAAGAAAAAAAGACTCTGCAAAATCTTGTTTTCTTGGTTGAATCAAGAACGAACAATGGTCTCGAAGCAATGAATTCCGTCGAGTTCTAAAGCAAACCGTGGTTGCTTCGTCGCCGAATTTGCAGCTTTTTCATCTTTCTTGAGGGAAGACGCGGTTTGACCGCCGCCGCCGCCGGAAGAAGCAGAATTCTTGCGTTCAGAGCGGTTGCAGACATAAGACAAGGAGGAATCAGCCGTGACTTTTATTCCCATAATCTCTGCACACATGGCGTCGAAGGCACTGAACATTGAATTCATTATCACGAGAGTTGAGAGAGAGAGAGATTGAAATTCGAGAACTTGGAAGAAGATCTTTGTTGGGTTTTTTATGAAGAAGAAAAAAGGTTTCTTTTGTTTTGTTTTTTATATTCTGAGTTTATAAAGACGCGACGAAACTTGGCCGTGTTGGATAAGGAAAGCGAAGAATCCGAGTAGGATCCGAATTAGTCCAAAATTGAAATTTTCCATTTATTCTTTGTTTTTTTTTTAAATATCGCGTTAAACTATTTTCTCAATTGGTTTTGCGTGAGACTTGGAAAATTTAACAAGAGACGACCTTTAGAATTTTTTAGGTAGGACTTTGTTGATGAACCTAATTTATCATACAATTAATTAATGGTAACCCTTGAAACCTTATTATAGAAGAGGAATGGAACAGGTTTGTGTTGTATGTGATTAATTATGTATTTATGTCTTGTATGATTTTATCATGATAGATAATACCTTTAACAAAAACAAATATTTTATATAATTATCGTTCGAGTATGTATTGATTGGAGTTAAACAATCATTTTTTTTATTCATGGTTCTTTCTTTTGGTTCCCTTCAGAACAACTGTTTGGTTTGTTTTGGTGTTTATTGCGTCATTTTTTTGGGTAAAAGTTAGGTCACTTGTTCGGCAGACATAAGCAAAAGAAAAATTAGGTCATATATTTCATTTGAAGAAAAAATAAGAAAGTTTACTTGGAGCCTCAAAAGACAAGGTATACCAACATATCTATATATATATATATATATATATATATAAGAGAATATGTTCTCTTCTCATAATGCTACATCATCATCTCAAATTCTAAAATTGTAACACATCATCATCAACACATTTGTTCATTTTAAATTTTTTATACAATTTATTTTATTTCAGAAACTTGAATGACATCTCTTCAGAAATAATAGCTTATATGTTGATGCATTTCTTCATTATTATTTAAAAATGATCTATTTTATTGTATATAACTAGATAGATATGGATACTAAATAAAAAAAATTGAAAATAGCCGGATTTGGATCAAGGTTTACCAAATCCAAGAAATAAATTCTCAGATCCAAATTTTATAATATCCTCGAATATCTAAATTCGTTTTAAAACAATTTGAAAACACAAAAATATAACAAAAACATAAATTTTAAGAAAAAATAGAATATTAAATGATAAAATTAAATATATGTTAACGGAAATTTCAAGAAGCTTGAATGACAACTCTAATCTTATAATGTGAGAATGAATATTATGTGAAGCAACAATTGCTTCACATAATATTCATTCTCACATTATAAGGTTAAACAGTAAATATTAGGTTGAATATTAGGTTGAACATGACATTGAAAATGGCTATATAGAAAAAAGAAAAACTTGAGAAAGATAGAAATTTAAACCGGTCAAATATGTTGTATGTGTTCCAATATGTTGTATTGATGAGAGAAAGGGAACATAAGCAAGAGAGGAAGAGAAAAAAGGATGTAGAGAAAGAGATATATCTAAAGAACATGTTAGAAAATCGAGATATTTCAAATAATTGATTGATTAACTACATAGTTTTTCCCGCAAAATGATTTGACACTAATGCAACTATAAAAAAAATGTATATTCAGAAATCATAATCTTACATAAATATAAAAATATCTACAAACCAAATTCGAATTAAAGTTTTAATTGATATATTATTTGACTGTTTTCTAAATTTTGTATATAGAACCATTAAATACTATAAATATTAAAATTAAAACTTTGCAAAGAAATTGAAATGCAAAATCCAGTGACAAAAATTGTTATTGTCAAGTTTTCTCTTAAATATGTCGACAAACGCAACATAAAATTCCGCACAAAACGCGGATCAGCCTCTAGTAGACTTAAATAAAACTCAACATTAAAAATTAAACATGCTTTTGAATTTAAACATGCTTCGAAATTTATTGGCCTGACGAATATATTTAGCATAATACACTATTTAGGTTTTTAAATTAGTAAAATACACTGTTTTTTTTAAAACTACACTTTTATATATGTAAAAATAATTTTTGAACAAAATTAATTACAAATTTATATTTAATAAATAAAAAAAATCAAAAAATTAACATTATGATTTTTCTGTTTGAAATAAAGATATCTAGTTATTTTAAATTTTAAATTTATAATTGCATAAATCTTTCAAATATTTTAAAATGTATCTCTACAAAAAAATTTTTTTATTAGTTCATCAACAATTCAGTTTTCAAAAAAACCAGAGCAAAAAAAATAAAATAAAGCAACATGTTGTTTGGTTCAGAGCATTTGCGGTTAGTAAATATGTGGTTTTTGAGTTGTATAATGCTGGTTTTTTTAGACTAACTATCTAACATCATCTTGTTTGCTTTTTCAGCAAGAGTTCAATTGGGATCCAAGCATCACAGATGCTGTCCGAACAGCTTATGACATTCAAGCTGATTGTCTTTCAGATCAAATTTGCATGAGTGGAAAGAGACACTGAAGAAGAGAGGACCAAATGATGCTCCAGACTGGATGAAGGCAAGGATAAATCTCTTTGGAGGTTACATGAAAATGTGGGGCACAAGCAAAGTGGCGGGGACTTCAAAAAAGAACTCCAAGAACAGGAAAAGTGAGAGCAATGGTCTGGGCCCAACTATTCACAACAATGGTGCAAAAACCTTGCAGAGGAGATGGGATGAATTGGTGAGTAAGAACAGATTTCCTTTATTTTCATGGTTTTTTTTATTGCTTTAAGTTTTTCTGATTCTTCTCAATGTCTTTATGTAGACTGTGGAAGGAAATGGTGAAGAGCCTGACATGCTTAGGTTCATGGAAGATGTTCACACAAGCAAGAAGACCAAAACAATTACTGATATGAAGGCTAAGAAGATCATCGAACAGTCTAAGGCAAAGCTTGCTGATATTGCTTCTCAAAAGCAGACTCAAGGTGACACCTCTAACACTTTGACTCAAGAGGAGATCAATGCAGTTGTACTTGAGGTAATTTTTGATGAGTGGAGATTTGGCTCATTCTAACCTGTGTTTACTAATTGTTTTAGGAGTTTTTGGAGTCTTTTCAGGAAGTTTCAGGTGACTTAGAGGGCTTATCAGAGGATTGGAGTGTTTAGAAGGCATTGGAGCAAAAGGAGATGAATCTGAGCAATAAGGAGCTATTTCATACGCTTTTGGAGAAATCATCCGCGGAGCACCTGCTCCCGGTTTGGACCCTTCATGGAGCACCTGCTCCAACCTCTGGAGAAAAATAAGGAAACGATTTTACCTAATCCTAAGTTGCGTGAGATGGAATAAAAAGCCCAGAGCCGCCTGTGTTTTATTATCACGTTTTTTCTACAGACTTTTTACGCATTAGTTTTGAGAGATTTCTGCTTGTAAGCAATTGGGAGAAGAATTCCTGCTACAGAGAAGAATTCTGAACCCTATTATCTCTTCTGCGATTTTAATTCATGAATTTCTTTTCATCTGTTGCTGTGTTTATTTTCTCCATGTCTGAGTAGTTCTCTTAGCTAGATTAAAGCGTTCAAAGGATTTCATGAGTTAAAGGATTAGATGCAAATAAGGTTTGATATCTATTGTCTTCACCATTGTTAGATTTAATGCTTAGGTTGAATTGATCACTCAATCTGCGATTTTAGGTTAATCTATTCATCAAAAGTGTAATAGGTTGCTAGAATAAACATTGGTGAGCGATTTGTCATTAGCCAACGACAGTTGAAGTTAAGGCAAATCGTGAACAGATCAAACCTGCTAGCTAATGCTTGTCTGCAATTTTCTAGGTTCAAACGACAGTTTAGGATTTAGGTTGTTAGACAAAGTTATCGAGATCACGACAGTGGATCGATAAGCTTTTCTGTTTGAATTCGAGACTTGCGTACACTTGTGCCCTGAATAGTCATCTGGTTCTTATCTCTGAAATTCCTGCGAATAGCTTTGGTCTAGTGCTTGTTTTAATTCGAATTTAAATCGTTGTTTGCCGTTCTGTTTACTTTTTTTAGTTTTCGCAGAAAATCATCTTTGTCTTAGCTTTAATTCAATCCTCACAAAGTCATAGAGTAGCACTGGTCCTCTGGATTCCGAATCCTTTATATTACAACTACATCACTATTCTATTGAAGTAGAAACTAGGAGTATATCCAGTGTGAATCAAATTTTAGCGCCGTTGCGACGGGGACCAATTCGTTACATTTGATTTTTGGTTTGAAATTCAGACTAAGACTTTACTAATTTTTTTTCTCTTGTTCTCTTGTCTGCGTGTGTTTCAGGTGTATGTCAAACATATCCACAAGGAGCAACTGCACCGATCTTGTTTCTTTGTCAAACACCGAGCTAGCAAGAGTTGAGCGAGAAAACAGACGTCAAAGGCCTACTCAAGCCAACATGGGCGATCAAGGCAACAATGACAACATGGCTGTCGAGCTGCAACAACTTCGACAGCAATTGGAGCAGCTGCAAATGGCGCAGCAAGACAGGGAGCAGCCACAGCCTGCTATTGGAGACAAGGACAGTCCGCATGCCTACTATCAAAACAGGGCTGCGATTGCTCCTCCAACCATTCTGAGGCAAGAATTTGAGATCAAACCTCAGCTGATCTCATTGGTGAAGCAACATCTCTTTCATGGGCTTCCTGCTGAGGTTCCGATGGACCACATCGAGAATTTTGAGGAGATTTGCAGCACGACTGGATCAAATGGAATACCAACCGATTTTTTGAAGTGCAAGCTTTTTCCATTCTCACTTGCGGACAAAGCTTTGCGCTGGCTGAAGTCATTACCACCTGGGTCATTGACTACATGGGAAGAGTGCAGATCAGCATTTTTGGACCATTTCTACACTAAGGCCAAAACTGCAGCTCTGAAGAACAAGATCTCATCATTTAAACAGCAACCTGGTGAAGCTTGGGAAAGGTACAAGGAGTACCGAAGAGAGTGCCCTCACCATGGGTTCTCTGATGAGCAGATTCTGTCAACCTTTTATGATGGTGTCAACTGGGATTACAGAAATGCTTTGAATGCAGCTAGCAATGGTGATTTCATGACTAAGTCCAAAGAAGCTGCTTATGAGTTGATTGAGAACTTATCTG